TCACTTCAAACATGTATCATGTCTTTGTGGTGAAGACATCCAAAATCCTCTCTTCTACCTATTTTGGAGTTATTCCTTAAATTTCTATTTAAGATGTTGCTCTAATTTTAGACAGGAATTCAATTTTAGTCAAGAACAATTTTTTGTGCTTATGACATTAGCTCAGGATGACAGGGAAAGTGTAATAGAGGAAAAAATATGATTCTGAGGGTGAACACAATTTCTTGGGCCAATTAACTGAGACAGTTCACATGTTTATTATGTTTAAACTATCTGGTGATTAATTTAGGGAATTTTATAGACAGTTTAATACTCTCCCAGCATAAAGAATAAGCCAGTTTATATAAAAGAAGAGAAAAAGAACCCTGAGCTAGATCTACCTCTGATGATGAATAAGACAAATGAAAGATGGAGATATTAGAAATTTTTCCTTAAATTGTATAGTTCAGAATGAAGGTACAAATACTCAACCCCCAAATGTTGGGGCATGCCTATTACCTCCAGGAAATTTCAAATCCTGATTTGACCATTCCTTGCCCTTCAGTGTACACCTTGGCTTCCCTACCCTAGTCATTCCCAAGTTGACATTGCAAACCCTTCCCAATGAATGTTTATGTAAATCTTAATTGCTAAGGCAACTCCTTGGGCAAAATCAAATTTAAAACCTAGCCTGATGATCTCTATTTTTTTTTTTGTCATCCACTTCCATTTTATTGGCTAGGATCAATAGTTACCCGGGTTTAAGCCATGACTATTTATTGAGTGCCTGGGACACGTATGGTAGAGGTGGCAAGGTAAAGTCAACTTAAGATATTAAAAGAACTGATTGTGCTACTTGAAGTGGATGTGGCTGTCTGGACCATCTCTATACTTTCTCTGTTTACTGCCTGAAATGCCCATTCAGTCCCATACCTTCTTCTCTGTTGTGTGCCTGATTCAAGCTTTTTTACTTCACCTTTTCTATTCTCTGCTTTTCCCACCTCTATATATTCAGGACTGCTATACATACACATACAGGAAAAAAAACCAACAACCCTTCTTTCCTCTTTCCCTTTCCTCTTTCCCTTCCTTTTTTCCTCTTTTTTGTCACTAGATGCATATGTATGGTACCAAAGGTGCCTTCTGATGTTGTCAACTTGGTCATGCAATTGGTTATTTTAGTCAAGAGTCAGGTGGGGAGTGCTTCCATGAAAGGGCCACTTGATTAGCTATATGCCCAGCATAGACATACCATCAGCTTGTTCTCTCTGCATACATTTGCTCCTATTATTCTGTCTCTCTGTAATCATTCATCTATTCAACAAATATCTGTTATATTCCTACTATGTGCCAAGAATTATACTATACCTATGTTTTAATAATGATATGATGATGCCGGGCGCGGTGGCTCAAGCCTGTAATCCCAGCACTTTGGGAGGCCGAGGCGGGTGGATCACGAGGTCAAGAGATCGAGACCATCCTTGTCAACATGGTGAAACCCCGTCTCTACTAAAACTACAAAAAATTAGCTGGGCATGGTGGCGCGTGCCTGTAATCCCAGCTACTCAGGAGGCTGAGGCAGGAGAATTGCCTGAACCC